TTTTTTATTTTTAAAACATTCAGTTTGAGCTTATGTGTGGTTTCCTTATAATTTAGCTTTAACATCTTTATATTTTGACATATAATAATTCTTTGTCTTCTTGTTTTAGTACTCTTGTTTGTTTCACGTTTCATTCTGTTTCTGTTATTTATGTCTGGAATTGTGATACTGTTCCCTATTGATAGACTAAGTTGAGTACTTGGTTTCACCTGAGCTTTTAATGTACTGTGTCAGCATCTCTTCATGAAAAAACACTGACAGGTTTGAAATAACCAGAGGATATTTCATGAATATTGCAGAAAATATAGGGAATATTCTCTGTGAGTTTATTGCAGAATTGTTTCATTTTTTTTTTTTTTTTGCTTTTATTTTATTTTTTTACGTTAAGTTAGTGAATAGCAATATTAACTTTTTGGATGTTTTAATCTTAACCATCTTTGCTGGTGTGCCCCAGTAAGTCATAGCATACAGTCTTCAACTGTCTTATTTTGTGAAATTATGCAAATATACTTGCCTCTAACAGAAAATAACACTATTTCTTACTTTGTTCTAATATCACTCTCTTTTATGAATGCACCTACAGCTTATCAGCCCAATTAATCTTTTCTTATTTTCTTCAGAAGTTGGAGTCAGACAGGTTGATCCAAATGCAAATAGCCTTGTCTACACAGTGCAGAGTGCTGAAAGAATGGATCAAATTGAAGTACCCAGGGAAGAACTCCACAAAATTACAGGTAATGTCTAGCATATCTTTTGTAGCTTAATGCTCCTTGAATAATAATAAAAAAAAAAGACTGGGTGCCTCCGTTAAAAGATGCTCCTAGTGCTCGCCAATAACCATCAGCACCGCACTCGACACCACAACCACCGCCAACGCCACAAACCGCCTTAGCTTTGTTGGGGTTTCGCCATCCTCCACCCACCCTGGACCCAAGACCGGGTTCCAGATTCCAGTGGTGGAACCTCTCCTAATTCCAGAGAGCAGGAACCAGGAACAAGCTCTTACAAGAGCTTACTCTGGGGAGTATTGTGATATAGCAATCTCCAGAGTGTAGGCAATTCTCCAATCCCCCAAACATGAGCCAAGACTTCATGAAGGGGTAAGCAGGTCTGTTTAATGCACACAAAAGGACTTTCTTTTATACACGTTTTCACGTCAGAGGCACACCCCCTGGACCTGGTGGTAAACTGTGACAAAAGGGACACAAACCAATGGGAACACTAATTAACAAAATAACACTCCCACATACACAGTAAAATCCCTCCCCTCTATCCTGGAGATAATTGGCTTAAGAAACTGCAGTAAATGCAATTATCTCCAGGTACAGAAAATATCTCTATTTTACACTAACAGTAAAATACATAAAAATACATAATTCCTATTATATTACATAGAACCCCCACATTTAACTGATCCCCAGATAGCGCCCAATATAGGTGAACAGCGCTCAGATCCCACGAACAGAGTATATTTGCCATGGGGTTAAAGTTTTGGGGAAGCCTCTTTTGACCGACCGCACGCAGGATTTCATGCCCAAAACAGTTCCACAGAATTTGGCTGTGCGACCGGTCTATTTCGAATGTTAAAGTCAGTTCACATAGAAAAATAACTAAGTCCCATTCGAATGCATGAACGGGGCGCCGTTTGTGCAACTAGCTTAGTATAACTGTGCGTTCAAATTATCGAACGCACTTCAATTTCAGGCGAAGCGTCCAAGTGGAGGAGAAGGAAAGGGTCAGCGGTGTTCGTGCAAGTGTGTAGCCGATTTTAGTTCCATGGATTTGATGGCACACACTGCTGACCTCGTTCGACGAATAAAGATGGCGGCCGCCCAGCGGTCGGCAATTAACCTGCGGTTAACCGCCAGCCTGGGAGGTAAATTGCCTGCATACTTCCACTTGCGTGTGGTCCGACGGGGCGCCGTTTGTGCAACTAGCTTAGTATAACTGTGCGTTCAAATTGTCGAACGCACTTCAATTTCAGCCGAAGCGTCCAAGTGGAGGAGAAGGAAAGGGTCAGCGGTGTTCGTGCAAGTGTGTAGCCGATTTTAGTTCCATGGATTTGATGGCACACACTGCTGACCTCGTTCGACGAATAAAGATGGCGGCCGCCCAGAGGTCGGCAATTAACCTGCGGTTAACCGCCAGCCTGGGAGGTAAATTGCCTGCATACTTCCACTTGCGTGTGGTCCGACGGGGCGCCGTTTGTGCAACTAGCTTAGTATAACTGTGCGTTCAAATTATCGAACGCACTTCAATTTCAGGCGAAGCGTCCAAGTGGAGGAGAAGGAAAGGGTCAGCGGTGTTCGTGCAAGTGTGTAGCCGATTTTAGTTCCATGGATTTGATGGCACACACTGCTGACCTCGTTCGACGAATAAAGATGGCGGCCGCCCAGAGGTCGGCAATTAACCTGCGGTTAACCGCCAGCCTGGGAGGTAAATTGCCTGCATACTTCCACTTGCGTGTGGTCCGACGGGGCGCCGTTTGTGCAACTAGCTTAGTATAACTGTGCGTTCAAATTGTCGAACGCACTTCAATTTCAGCCGAAGCGTCCAAGTGGAGGAGAAGGAAAGGGTCAGCGGTGTTCGTGCAAGTGTGTAGCCGATTTTAGTTCCATGGATTTGATGGCACACACTGCTGACCTCGTTCGACGAATAAAGATGGCGGCCGCCCAGAGGTCGGCAATTAACCTGCGGTTAACCGCCAGCCTGGGAGGTAAATTGCCTGCATACTTCCACTTGCGTGTGGTCCGCCTGTACAATAATTGGTTAGGTAAACCCAAATTAACGAACCATATTAGAAAAGGACACGAACAAAGTATTTTAAAGCTCCCACGCCAGGGAAAGGATGCATTAAGCATCAGGGCTGCTGGCTGCTACGCGCCCGCCCCTTTTAAAGAGTCAGTGCATGCGTACCAACCCCCAGTGGTCAGAAGGGCTCTAAACAAGAGAGCTCAACGTACATGTACCTTTTGGGGGCGTAGTTATGTAAATCACGCCCCCAATCATATAAAAGCCTAGTCTGCCTCCAAATCAGTGCCCTGTTGTGGTTCCTAGTGTCCCCTCAGTGCGTCCCTGTATTCTTTTGATTGTTCTTTGTGTTTTGACCCGGCTTGCTTTTGTCTATTCTGATTTCTGGTTTCCCTGACTTGGCTACGTTCCTCGCTATTGTGTATTTCTAGCTTCCTTTGACCTTGGCTTGTTTCTGGCATTTCTTGTAGTTTCTATTATTCCGGCCATTCTAAGGACTGGTTAAGGACTTTCTACCTGTCTCTATTATCTTGGTGATTTTCACTCTGCGTATTGGGTATTAACGTTACATTACAACAGGGCCAATGGACCCTGCAGGTGTTAATCCCCAAAAAATGGCTCAGGACGCTAGGCTGGATGGAAAAAAGTGCTCAGTGTAAATAGGCGCTTAGTGGAAATGCAAATTAAAAACAGCAGCCAAATGGTATGGATCACCGTATGGATCAAATCGCCCAAGCCTTACAAACTCTGATTACTCAATCTAATGAACCACGTACCCAATCACTTACCCCTGTACCTGCTGGTGCAGAATCTTCTACTCACAGCCATAACTCTAATCCAAATCACCCCATACGTTATAATGGGGATCCATCGAAATGTAGAGGGTTTCTTAACCAGGTTAGCATTTTGTTTGAATTATGTCCCAGAGTGTACCCTACTGATAGGGCCAAAATAGGTTTCATCATTACCCTGCTAACTGATAGAGCCCTTATTTGGGCAAATCCGCTCCGGGAGAACAAATAGTCCATTAGTTTTTGACTACCCTCAGTTCCTAGCAGTGTTCAGGAGAGCTTTTGATCCTCCAGGCAGGAAAGCCAGTGCTGCCTGAGCTCTCTTGCGATTAAGACAAGGAAACCGTTCCCTCATGGATTATGCTTTAGAATTCCGTTCATTGGAATCAGAAGTTTGTTGGAACAACCAGGCATTCCTGGTTTGGACACATTGATTAGAGGCTTAGACACAGGCAAAACACCGTAGAAAGGCCCAGAAGATCGGCTATCAGACCACCTCCCACTCTCCCCTCTGAGTTGATGACGGTTGCTATCCCAGAACCTATGCAATTAGGTAAGACAAGGTTATCTGAGAAAGAGCGTCAACATAGAAGGAGGTTGTGCATGTACTGTGGTAAAAGAGGACATCTATGTTTATCATGTCCAGAAAGGCCAGGAAACTTCAGAGCTTAAGGCCATAAGGACTGGGTGTACTTAATGATTCCTCCATACATAATCATGAAAAGTGGCTTCTACTACCGATCACCTTAAAATGGGAGGGTAAGGTTATCCATTCTCATGCCCTTACAGACTCTGGGGGTGCATAGAACTTCATAGATAGGATCTTTGCTGAGGGATCTGCTATCCCTCTCCGAAACAAAACACCCTTGGCCATAGAGGCCATAGATGGTAGACCTCTTGAGGAGCCCTCCATTACTAAGGAATCTATTCCGGTCCTTATGATGGTTGGGGCTCTTCATAAGGAGATCGTTGTTTTACAAGTTATCTCCTCACCATCCTTCCCTTTGGTATTGGGGTATCCATTTATTGTTTAAACATAATCCACAGATACATTGGGAATCAGGAGAGATTGTTAAATGGTGCCCTTCTTGCTCAGAAGGATGTACCACTAGGATTAGACCCATGGTTCTCATAAACGTGCCTGTCTTACCTCTGTTGTCCACTGATGTGCCCAAGGTATATCAAGATTTGAAGGAGGTATTTGACAAAAAGAAAGCTGATGAGCTACCCCCGCATCGGTTGTATGACTGTCCTATTAAACTGTTGCCAGTGACTATGCCACCGAGAGGCACTGTTTACCCTCTCTCTCTCAAAGAGAATCAGATTTTGGAAGAGTATATTCGGGAGAACCTAGAGAAAGGTTTTATCAGAAGGTTCTCTTCTCCTGCTGGAGTGGGGTTCTTTTTTGTTTCAAAGAAAGAGGGTAATCTCAGGCCGTGTATAGATTACAGGGGTTTGAACAAAATCCCTGTACATAATGTCTATCCGATTCCTCTGATCACAGAACTATTTGACCAGTTGAAGGGTTTCAGGATCTTCACCAAATTAGATTTACGAAGTGCTTATAATTTGGTGAGGATTAAAAATGTACATGAATGGAAGACAGCTTTCAATACTAGGTACGGGCATTATGAATGCACAGTCATGCCTTTTTGACTTTGTAATGCCCCTGCCATCTTCCAGGACCTGATAAACGATGTATTGAGAGGGTTAAAAGCCATCCAACGTTTCATTGGGTTTTCTAACTACTATAGGAGGTTTATAAAAGGGTTTTCCTCCATAATGTCACCTATCTCAAACATGACAAAGAAGGGCAAATCTAATCAGTTATGGACTCCGTAAGCACTAATTGCCTTTAACACCCTGAAGGCTGCATTCGCTTCAGCACCTATCCTAGTCCATCCGGACCCATCACTCCCTTTTCTTTTAGAGGTAGATGAATCCGATATAGGTGTAGGGGCTATTCTCTCCCAATGTTTGTCTCCTGATCAACCCCTCCATCCGTGTGGATTCTTTTCTAAGAAACTTTCCAAAACAGAGAAGAATTACGAGATAGGAGATAGGGAACGCTTAGCAATTGCACTGGCCCTCAAAGAATTTCATCATTTGCTAGAAGGCTCTTCAACTCCTGTTACTATCCTGACAGATCATAAAAACCTATCTTACATGAGCGAGGCCAAGAGACTGACAGCTAGACAGGCAAGGTGGTCTTTGTTATTCTCACGTTTTAACTTTATACTTACCTATAGACCAGGTACCAACAATACGAAAGCAGATGCATTATCTCATTAATTCGAACCTATCTTTTTCCAAAATCGAAGAATTAGCTCCTATTATCCCTAAAAATAAGATTATAGCAGTTACCCATCTAAACATTGGTTCCGATCTCATTAGGACTTTACGAGATGTACAAAACATAGCACCTAGTCAGACCCCACAGGATAGGCTATTCGTCCCTTCTGAATTCCTAAGGGAGGTCCTAGACTTATGCCACGATAACAAGACAGCTGGTCATCCTGGAACCAAGAAGACCAGTGACCTCATTGCTGCTCGGTTTTGGTGGCCTTCTTTTAGGCATGATGTGAAGGATTACGTACAAACATGCCATGTATGTGCCCGATCTAAAACCTCACATGCCTTGCCCTGCGGTCTATTGCAATCTTTGGAAATACCTAAAAACCTGTGGTCTAGCATATCCATTGATTTTATAGTAGAATTACCTAAATCGAAGGGTAATACCGTGGTCTTAACTATCACAGATAGGTTTACCAAGATGGTACATTTTGTGTCCTTACCTAAGCTTCCCTCATCTATCGAATTAGCGGATATCTTTGCTAGAGAAGTATTTCGCTTACATGGCATACCCGAAGAGAGAGTGTCCGATAGGGGTCCTCAATTCATCTCTCGATTCTGGAAGGCATTTACTGACCAACTTTGTATCAAGTTATGTCATTCTTCAGCCTCACCCTCAATCTAACGGTGATGCTGAAAGGACTAATCAATCCCTGAAACAGTACCTATGGTGTTTTATTTCTGACAACCAGGATAATTAGGCGATACTGCTTCCCTGGGCTGAGTTTGCTTATAATTGTACCCAAAGGGAGTCCATGAGCTGCAGCCCTTTTTACCTCAACTATGGCTTCTATCCTTCCGTTCTTCTGGCTGTCTTTCCTTCATTGGAGATACCGGCTGTAGAGGAATATTTGGGTGGCCTGAGGGCCATTTGGGAGCAGGTTCAACACATCCTGACTCATAAGGTCGCCTTGCAGAAAAAATACGCTGACAGACACCGACAAGCTGCTCCATCTTATCAAGCAGGTGATAGGGTTTGGCTCAGTACCAAGAATATCAATCTGAAAGTGCCTTCCAAGAAACTGGCTCCTCATTTCATAGGTCCCTATCGGATTCTGAGACGTGTGACGCCGGTTTCATACAGGTTGTAATTGCCCTCTGCTTTGTGAATCCCTAATACCTTTCACATGTCGTTATTGATACTTCTTTCTTGCGATAGGTTCACCAGACCCTTCTTTGTTCCTGCTCCTGTTGTTGTCTTCAGTCAATCTGGCATCTGCATGGAGTTAAGTGGGAAGACAGCCACTATTTCGTTACCAGACCAACATTCGGCTTCATATGTAGCCCAAGTTATGCGATATCTTCGCCAAAACCTTAAACCTGGCTCCTACGGAACATATGCAGATGTCTTACGCTACTTAGATAACTTCCTCACCATCGAACCACACCAAAGCACACCACACAGCCTGAATCACATGTTCACTCTTTTCAAAGATTAGGAGTACCCATAGCCGGCACAAAACACAGAGATCACATTCCCGGGGTTTACACTCGGTTCTATTTCTATGCAGGCCAACCTGCCACTAGTGTAAGTAGATAGAATTCTTTTACATCAACATATGCACGTCACAAGACTCTTGCACCAGGAATCTGCTACAGTCACTACCTGGTTCACTCAATTTTGCGGGGAGAATAATTCCACAAGGTAAGTCTTTATTTCCAGAATCCTCTTTCTTGCATGGTCTCCCTGTCGACGACTCCACAGCTCTCTTAGACAAACCAGCTAGAGCTGATATTAAGAAGGTGGCATCTGTTCCTGTCCTCTTGGAATGGCAGGTCACTACTCGTTCCCCCCGACGATTCCCCTATGGTCCGGACTGACACATCAGGTGCCGTAGATTATGCAGCAAAGTTTGGTTACAAATGGGTACACGTCTCTTGGCCAATTGAGTCTACCTCGCAAGTAAATTTCAATACCACCTCAGCACTATTTGAATCTACCCTATCGTAGCAGCTACACATATATACGGGGCAAAGAGTGGAGAGGGCAGTCGGTCAGATGCTTTTCTAATATCTTGGCGACATGTAATATTGTTAACAAAGGCCGCTCTCAGTCCCTCTCGATTTATTAACTTGGTAAGGAGTCTTACCTGGCTAGTGGCAAATCTTCAATTCTGCAAAACTTATTTTCACATTCCGGGTATTCAGGTTAACGCAGCAGACGCTCTCCCACACTCTAATTTGCAGGAATTTTTTGAAGGTCATCCATCAGCAAACTTGCAGCCCAAGGAGCCTCCAAGCTTCAAAGTCCTAATTATGAGTTAAATACTCTGTTGCTCCATAGTAGGTCGCTTGCACAGGCTGGTTTATACCTTAATTTAAGAAAGCTTATTCCAAGAGCGTATCAGTTGTTTAAAGGTTTGTTTGTGTTTATTGTGTGATAAATGTTTCTATTTGTAAATATGGTCGCATTTACAACTTTGCCACTTTTCTCCTAAATTAGTTTACAATACTATCAAACCTTACTTTACAGGCATAAACATTTGTCTATTACTCATACCAAAACGGGCCATACTGGTCCTCCAGTAGAGATAAAATATTTTCCTACCTCTACCAAATCAGGTCCTATCCACGTTTTGGATAATCTTTTGGAATCTCAACTCACTTCCATCCCTGATTCCCCACTAGTAGCTTTTCAAGGGAAACCCTTAACCAATAAAAATTTTATGCTTTACATTCGTACGATATCACTCTGACTAGGACATAACCCTCATTCCTTCTCGGGCCATTTATTACGCATTGGAGCAGCCACAGCTGCCTCCGGTAATCACATACCAACTCACATCATTAAAAATATGGGTCGGGGGAAATCATCCGCATACAACAAATACATCTCCAATCCTGAGAAAGAAATAAGATTGGCTTTCTGTGAAATGTCTAGATAATGATCTGCTGAATAAATGTATGTGACTTGTAAGAATCGCTTCTTATATTTTTGCCCTCTTTTACAGGTCTAACCTCACTTCAGTTTCGGCACACCTCAACTGTCTGTGTTCTTACTACTATTGCTCCCTTATTATTGTTCCTTACGTCCTCGAAATGTGCCGTACACAAATATATAAATATATATATATATATACACACACACACATACATATAGATATATAAATAAAATGTAATATATATAATTTAGTTTTTAATTATTATTTTAATTCACAAGAAGCAGTCATTTATCAAAAGCTGTGGTTTACCTTTGCCTTCTAGCCTTTTATTTTTCTAGCTTAAGTTGACAATTTCAATAATATTACAAATGATGCAATTAAAACATTTATTTTCTATCTAAGGTAAAAAAAAAGTTAGTGTCATGAACACTTGGATTGACTTTGAAAATCTTCAACATCTGTTTCAAGTTTACAACACTAACCTTATTAGTGAAGACTCTGCAGTGTCTGACGGAGGATACAAGTGAGTTTCTGAAATAGATTGTTTTGATATCAAAAAGTTTATTAAATATTTATTTTATGATCTTTTACATTTCTTTACCAACAAATACCAAATCATTGACTCCATTTAGGATAACCCGGGTTTGTAGGCCACGAAAATTCTTGCAAATGTATATCAAAAAAATGTTTGGCAATTTGCGAATTGACTTTGCCTATGTCCTACTGACTTACTCCCCATTGCTGACAAACAAAATAAATGTACCATCTGTGTCCTAAAAACCAGCTTGTTTTTTTATTCTTCCACAAAATACCTTTTCATTATTATTATGTATCCCCAAACATAGAAGGCTTATCAACAGCAATCTTTAAGTTTGGATTCCAATATTGTTGAATGGGTAAAGCAGTGGTTGAGTAACAGGCAACAGAGGGTTGTATTCAATGGAGTATATTCGAAGCATGGACTTGTTACCAGTGGGGTACCTCAGCGATCTGTACTTGGATCCATTCTCTTTAATATTTTTATTAGTGATATTGCAGAAGGTCTTGATGGTAACGTATGTATTTTTGCTGATGATACGTACGATATGTACGCGGTTGATGTTCCAGGAGGAGTAAGACAAATGGCAAATGATTTAGGTAAGCTGACATTTAATGTGGATAAGTGCAAGATCTTGGACATAAAAACCCAAGGGCAGAGTTTGAAATATTTGATAGTCCTAACCTCAACATCCGAGGAAAGGGATTTAGGGGTTATTAGTTCAGATGACTTAAATGTAGGCAGGCAATTTAATAGAGTAGCAGGAAATGCAAGCAGAATTTTTAGTATAGGGAGAGGTATAAGCAGTAGAAAGAGGGAAGTGCTCATGTCATTGTACAGAACAACGGGTGAGGCCTCACTTGGAGTACTGTGCACAGTACTGGAGACCGTATCTCCAGAATAATATTGATACTTTGGAGAGAGTTCAGAGAAGGGCTACTAAACTGGTTTATGGATTACTGTCAGGATTACAGAATGATCCAGCACGTAGAATTGTGTAACACCGAGGACTGATAGGTAACATATACCGGACCTTAGAATGGCCGGACTAACTTACCAAAGAATAGTCAGGAATAGCCAAGGTCAAGGGATACAGAAAGAGACACAACAATAAGGAAAATCCAGGAGTCAGGGATACCAGAAAACAGGGAAGTCAAAAACAATGCCAAAGTCAAATAACCAGAAATACCAGAATCAATAACGCGCTCTCGGACAACCACAAGGGAAACCACGACAGGGCACTGAGCAGGATGAGAATTGGGCCTAAATACCACTCCTCTAGATCTGATAGGCTGTAACCGGCCTTTGACCCCAAAGGCAGTTACCAGGTTTCCATTTGCATTATTGCTGATCAGCATTAACCCTTCTGTGGATTTGGTTGCTGCTCAGCACAACTTTTCCTGTGTGGACAGTAAATGCCATTAACCACATTTTTATAAGCGGATGAATATGTGACAATTACAGGATAAAACGTACAAGGAAAGGTTAAAGGACCTTAACATGTATAACTTGGAGGAAGGACGAGACAGGGGGATATGATAGAAACGTTTAAATACATAAAGGGAATCAACACAGTAAAGGAGGAGACTATATTTAAAAGAAGAAGAGGACATAGTCTTAAATTAGAAGGGCAAAGGTTTAAAAATAATATCAGGAAGTATTACTTTACTGAGAGGGTAGTGGATGCATGGAATTGCCTTCCAACTGAAGTGGTAGAGGTAAACACAGTGAAGGAGATAGAGCATGCACGGGATAGGCATAAGGCTACCCTAGCTATAAGATAAGGCCAGTGACTATTGAAAGTTTTTAGAAAATTGCAAAAAGCAGAGAGGACCAGGAGTATGTATATAGCCAGAAAATTAGTTTTGAACATAGACCGTGATTAAAGGATATATATAAAATATTACTTTTAATTAGTTGTAGCTAAATTGTAAATCTAATTAAACTGATACCACCACCTAAGTTGAAAAAACAATAAAAAATAGTAACTCGAAGATGGCAGACAGAATCACTGTTGTGAATAAAGTAAGTGATATCACCTTATGTCACCTTACATTCACTGGAGAATCAAATTCAGTATGAAATAAATAGTGGATCTTGTCGATCTATCAGAGCCTCGGTACTGGTATCTGAAGTTTCAATATAAATCCCCAGAGATATAAGAGGAATCTTAATTATTCTATAGTAAACTCTTATGATAAAAATAAACAATCTAGCCTATATGCTGGATTGGTGAAGCTAATGCATAATCTGTGCCTTTGAGGGCACCCCTTAGTCAAATGCCTGTTAGGTATAGAAAGTAAGAGTTCTTTTCCCACCCACTTTGCTAAAAACTACTAGATAGCTTGATGGAAGTGGTATTGTTGGAAATCTATGGTAAATTTCTCTGAACTATACAATGTCTGGCCACTAACGAAGTGTACTTGTAAGAGCCCATGACGCACGTTTCGCTTTGTGGCTCATCAGAGGGGAACCGGACACCATCAGAAGTCCAGTAAAAGTAGGGGTAAGTATTTTCTTATTGGTCCATTCAAATTTAGTGTGGACTAATCATAAGCCTTGTTGGTTGTATCTGATTAGTGGATCTAAATGTGAAGATTCTCTGACTTTCGGAAATGACGGAGGTTAATTTTAACCCTTATGTCATTCTGGGTCAAGACGTTCAACAGTTCTTCAAATATTGTGACAGAGCCAGTCCAGAACAATAGTAAGTCATCAATATATCTGTGCCAATATTTTGATGATGTACTATTGTTCTGGACTGGCTCTGTCACAATATTTGAAGAACTGGTGAACATCTTCAACCAGAATTACATAGGGTTAAAATATCCTCCGTCATTCACGAAAGTCAGTTAGAGATTCTTGACATCAAAATCATATTGTCGAAGGACGGTATTGTGGAAACTGAACTTTTTGAAAATCCACCGCCACAAAAACTTATTACACTGGCAGAGTCACCATCCATTCAAACTCAAGGCGGGTATCCCATATGGCCAGTATCTAAGGGCTCTGAGAAATTGTTCCACTGATCTGGCATTCCAGAAAAAAGCTAATGAGATTCGACAAAGATTCAAAACACAGAGTTACCCTAACAAGGTCCTAAAAAGGGCTTATCTAAGAGCTTCTTCTATGGACAGACCAACCTGCCTACGGACTTCGAGACCTAAAGCCACCCAAAATTTAATCCGTTGCATTGGTACATATGACCAATACAGGGAGATAGTAAAACGTATATTTACGGATAACTGGCCGATCTTGAAACATAATTACATAAAAAATAAATGAAGAAAAACAAGAAAGAAGATAGTAGGTAACACCTGTACTGCTACAACAGAGGGACAGAGTCCAGGTGTATCCAGCTAAAGTACCAAACCGAGACTCCAGGGGTCTCCAGGGGCTTAACCCCAATGTAGTCTATGCAAAAAATAATAAAGAGAGTAGATACATGTAATCACACCACCAAAATTGTGATGAAACAATGTATCACCTGGACATATAAATAGTCATATCACTATCATGGATACATAGATAAAAGTATACAAAATACCTAATGACAGAATATCTAGTATATATCAAGAAGATCTGGTAAAGATAATAATAATAATGAATAAATGATAAAAACTAAACAACCACCTGATCATAAAAGTATATCGCCGCCCAGGGTAGTAGCATATGGGTATGGTTTCCAGTGTATAATGTGAGCTTTATTAAAGATGGCTTTTAATATAAATGAACATAACCCTGATAACTTATCTCATGTGATTTACTCAAAAAAGTTCCTCCTTATGGGGAATATCCCATATTCCTGTGTGTATCTTCATACACAGGTAAGATAGCTCAGAGGAAAAGAGGAAGCATTGTCAGGAATGTTAGTGAAAGGAGAATAGAGGATACAAGATCAGAAGCGAGCTAAAAAACAGGCTGGCAGTGAAATTAAAAAAAGCCTCTTTCCCTGTTAAACTAACTAGACAGACATATGAACAATAAAGGATATAAAAAATTACAACCACATGATGGATAAAAAAGTGTTAGGCAAAAAGTGCCATGCCCAGTGCCCATAACGAAGGTGCATCTCACATAGCACCGAAACCATCTTAGGTTACGGGCACTGGGCGGCAATATACTTTTATGAACATAGGAGCATATCTTACTAGGTGGTTGTTTAGTTTTTATCATTTATTCATTATTATTATCTTTACCAGATCTTCTGGATATATACTAGATATTCTGACATTAGGTATTTTGTATACTTTTATCTATGTATCCGTGATAGTGATGTGACTATTTATAGGTCCTGGTGATACATTGTTTCATCACAATTTTGGTGGTGTGATCACATGTATCTACTCTCTTTATTATTTTTTGCACATGACAAAAAATAACCTTATGATTTTCCCCAATATAACAGTACAGAGATCTAGAAATCTGAAGGACATATTGGTACATAGTCATTTGGAAGCCCAACCAACCCCTTCAAATTGGCTATCACAAACCAAAGGAACATTCAGATGTGGTAGGTGTAAGGCATGTGAGTATATCAGACATTCCAAACCAATAAAGTGAACCAGAACAAAACAACATTACCAAATCAAGGACTCCATAAATTGCAGCACAACACGGGTGATTTATATAATCACCTGTAGCTGTGGACTGCAGTATGTGGGAAAAACGTATCAGCAGTTGAGAAGACAAATTCTCCCACATGTTCATACAGTTACTAACATCAACATCACAATCCAAGTCTCCAACCACATCCGCACAGTACATGGAAGTGATCCCTCTAATTTAAACTTTCAGGCCATAGAAAGACTATAACTACCAAGATGAGAAAAGGGGATTTCAATGCTCGGCTACTTAACAGCTCAATATTTCCAAACTAAAATGAATACCTTCCTCTTAGTTGATACGTTTTTCTTAAGAGGATCTAAGTAAAAATACACCACCGCATTGATAATGATTTCTTACTGTCAGGCGATAAGACAATAAT